GGGGCACCGGGTTCCTGGGAAGGACACGGGGGGCCAGTGTGAGGGACAAGGTGAATTGCCGGCCTGTAGAGGGTGCTCCAGATGCTGGACGAGCTGATTCACCGAAGCAACCAGTAGGGGGTGCCGCAGGGGTGAGTCCGTACCCTTACAGATGGTCTCTAGGGGCTTCTTTCTGAAATCTTTATCACTAATTTCATGCGAAAAAGCCAAAAAACAAGCAATGTGTCTCCTGTCCAAATATCGGTAGCAACCAGAAAGATTTACATGTTTTGACAGCTTCACTAAAGCTCTCCTGCTGTAACTGAGATTACCCTCCCATCCTGACGGCAGCCATACTCCACTCACTGTAGGGGAACCAGCAATAACGTGAAGTGATGCCACATCTGTCTGTCGAATGCAGAACTAGAGTCTGAATGAGGCAGGCCATCTGGTAATGGGAAGTAGAGACTGCAAATCACATGATCCCATGAGCTGCACTATGCAGTAGCCTGATACAAACTTCAAATCTGCATTTGCTAGGTCTTTCAAACACGTTTTACAGAAGCCAATCTTAAAATCAGAATGTATGTTCTCTATGAATAATTGTTTTCATAATTTTCTGTAAGCAACACGTATGTCCAAGGGCTTCCCAGCTCCTGTGCTTCTTAAATTTTAGATACCCCTTTTTTTATTTGTTCCATTTGCCTTTAAGTTCTCCACTAGGGGAGGTGGCCTTTTAGTTCTATAGGACGCACTTCCTCTGATGCGGTTCCCTTTGATGTCAACGATATGTGGCAACAGAGGAGGTTTACGTATCATCAGTGTTGTCCCTTCAGGAGTATAGGCTCGCAGCTGTAGTTTGTCTTCCAAGTGAGCAGTTACTGCAACCCAACCTGTGCAGATACCAGAACAGAATCCAGTTAGTTACAACCTCTTTCAAACAAAATGAAAATCAACTGTATCAAATTTTAAAAATGGAAAGGGACACCAATTTAAATAAGACAAAGGGTCAGATTTTCCACACGGATTCAGCACCCAACAGATCCCATTTAGATGAAGAACGGAAGCTGCTGAGTGCCAAGCACTTTTGAAAATCTACCACCAAAGCAGAAAACAATTGTTCATAATCACATACAAGGCAGCAGGCATTTTGGTTGACTCTGTGTCACCTTTCCTAGTCACAAGACCTTTGCAAGTCACATGATTACATCCAAGAACAAGAGTGCACAGCAGGAGCTGATACCCTGCATGTGGAGGAGGAAACACAGAATTACCAGCAGAGGACAGCTTTATGTCAGCCACTGCCTCGAGGGTGCCAATTCCTTCCAGCGTAATTTCCTGAGGAATAAGCGGCGGGAATTCCTTCATTCGCTCTTCACCCCCCATGGGCACCTAACAATAAAATACAGGAGAACGGAGTTAAAAGCTGACGAGAAAGACAACTTTAAACTTCTCAAGTTACAGAATAAGTTACAAAGTGAAATGCAGCAACTTAACTGATTCTATTCTAACCGACTCAAACACTGGACACGTTTAATGAGTAACTGCTCTCACATAACTTTTCTATTAAAAATGGCATTTGTACAGTTAAGGGACAGTTTGTCCAGAAACAAATATCAAGGTGATAAAGATTTCATTTAGATATCAAACCAGGGTGACTTAGAGATGCCAAGAAGTAGATATTACAGTATCAGAGATTGTCCTAGTTGGGTAAGTGTCAGGATTCAGTTCCAGGCTAGTTCAATGAAATAGCAAAAGTTACTAATACCACAATCTCTGAAACATTTATTTTTGTAAATGGCGCAATAATTCATAAAGTGAATTCAGCATGAGCAGTGAGTTGCACTGTTGCTTTGCAAGTGAAGATCAATACCAGAAGAGACAGCTTTAAACTGCTTCAGATAGTGGAAAATGTACCACGTAGCTAGGGGATCCTTAATATTTACTACAGAGAGAGTGTTTCAGTTTTAGTGGTATTGCCAAGGAAACAAGTTAAAACACATCAAGATACGCACATATATATACACACAGAGGCCCTGCTTATAGGAAGACAAAAAGATGCATTTTAAAAACATGATAGCTAACACATTTAAAATCCTAGTGTTGAAAGAGCAAGTATTAACATGTTAGCTGGTTGAGCCAAACCAGGGGGGAGCGGAGAGGAGAGGGGGGCAACACAGATTTTTAACTTCATCAGCTAATATATGTTAAAGTATACACAGATTGTCTACGGTAGACTTCTGAATGTTTTACCTAGTACATTAACCAATGTGCTAACTCCACATCTTTCTAGATAAAGCCTAAATCATGAGAATATTGCTTTTTTAAAAAACAAATATTTCCACACCATGCATCGAATGAATTTTAGTCAAAATCATTTCAAATTATACTATCAAACTGCATGCTTAAAATATAAGATATAGAAAATAAAATGTAAATATATTAAAAGACATACAGGTCTTGCTAAAGAAGTGCTATGGAACTAAGTGTCAATCTGAAATCTTAGATCTCTCCCCTATCTAATTTCAGAAGTCCCAAATGATGGGATCTACATCACTTCCAGGTATTTCTATTTCTTAATTCCACCTTGTTGCTCCTATTTGTAGTTCTTGACCTCTCTGCCTTTTATATTTCTCTCCCTTTGTGTTTTGCCAATTTATATCTTTCCATAGCAGACATTCAGTTTTTGTTGCTTGTCTCCGACCTCCTGCCTGAGTAGCTCCAATTTGTCAATGTCTTCCTGGCATCAGTGGACCTAGCTCAGAACACAGTATTCCAGATGTTGCCTCATCAGCGCTGCAGAAAGAGGGGCTTTCTCCCTGAGCCAGAATATGATGCCTTGGCAAGCATAAGCCTAAACCCCACCAGCCATTTTTTAATTTTAATTTTAATGAAGACTGCTCAGTAGGAGTTTGTGTGCTTCTGGAAAAAAAAAACATTATATCCCTACTTACAAGGCTGTCTAATGTACTAATATGGTCCCTTGTACACAAGCAGAGCAGGGAATTCAATCCAGGTCTTCCAAAGCCCCAGGCTAAAGTCCTAACCTCTGCCCATGCCATGTTCCTCTGTCCATGCACAGAGGGAGCTCCCTCTTGCTGACTTAGTTTAATTTTAAACAGGAAAAATGTGTGTTGTGACTGGCAATAAGATTTTCATTCTCGTAGCTGTTTCCCACAGTCAGGGGAGGAATGATGCATATCTCTGTTATTTGGTTTTCCCAGAAAGGGGAAGAATCACTGACAAGACAATGCATAAAGAGTTCTAGCGAGGACTTAACAAAGTCTCTGTTGTGTCATGCATAGGGAACCAGTAAGGGATGCCTGTTGAGCTACAAAAGAGATCACATGACCTTACTCCTTACACATACCAGAACACCATATAGAAGGTCTCCTCTTACCTTCAGTAATGTTTTTCCAGCATGTTTCTGATAGATGCTATCTGCTTTCTCCAGGGTAGTAACATGGACTGGCAACAGGTTAGAAGCCACAACAGAAAACCAGGAGGATTTTGCTCCCTAAAATTAATGAGGGGTGATTGTTAAACTGAAATGCTGTAAAGATATTTACAAGTTACTGTCCAGCCTTCCCCCACCTTCTGTTTAAAAGTAGTTCTGTTACATGATTCTCTCTCATCTAGATAGCCAGGGTCTTAGTCTTCGAAATGCATCTGTACTGTTTCTATGATAAATAATGGAGCTGAGCTTTCAATACAAAAATACAACAGTGTGCCACCTCAAAGTTTCTAGTCCTAAAGCAAGCCCAGAACCTTCCTGATTCTAGAGCTTCTGCATCACAGCGCAATACTTAGGTGCTACTATAATACAAATACAGTGCACTCACATTTCTCCCTCTGGCATGGATAACTGTGTGTTCAGATAAATGGAAATGCTATTAACTAACAAGTGGCTACATGGGGGGGACACTGTGGATTTTCAGAGAAAAGGAATTTGGATAATTGGAATGGCATTTAAACAAACAAAACCAGAACAATCTGTTCTACACTCAGGTCATCCAAATAAAATGATAGTCAAATGTTACAGAATGTGTATCTTTACCAAGGGTGGGCAAACTACGGCCCGCAAGCTCCCGCTGGGGAGCAGGGTCAGGGGCTGCACCACGTGGCCCCCGTAAACCGCGGCATGGCCCTGCTCCGGGGTGCAGGCTTTGGGACCACACCACATGGCTCCCAGACGCAGACGCATGGCCCCGCTCTGAGAGTCAGGGGCCGCTACATGCATAGGAGTCAGAGAAGAGACATGCCACTGCTTCCGGGAGCCGCTTGAGGTAAGCGCCTGCACCCGAGACTCTCCCCACGCCTCAACCCCCTGCACGCTCTCCAAACCCCCTGATCTGGTACAGAGCACCCTCCTGCACCCCAAACCTCTCATCCCCAGCCCCACCCCAGAGCCTGCACCCCCAGACGGAGCCCACACCCCTTAGAATAACAGAATCATAGAATATCAGGGTTGGAAGGGACCTCAGGAGATCATCTAGTCCAACCCCCTGCTCAAAGCAGGGCCAACCCCAACTAAATCATCCCAGCCAGGGCTTTGTCAAGGCGGGCCTTAGAAACCTCTAAAGAAGGAGATTCCACCACCTCCCTAGGTAACCCACTCCAGTGAATGGGTTCACCACCTTCCGAGTGAAATAGTGTTTCCTAATATCCAACCAAGACCTCCCCAATTGTAACTTGAGACCATTGCTCCTTGTTCTGTCATCTGCCACCACTGAGAACAGCCGAGCTCCATCCCCTTTGGAACCCCTTCAGGTAGTTGAAGGCCGCTATCAAATCCCCCCTCATTCTTCTCTTCTGCAGACTAAATAAGCCCAGTTCCCTCAGCCTTTCCTCTTAAGTCATGTGGCCCAGCCCGCTAATCATTTTTGTTGCCCTCCGCTGGACTCTCTCCAATTTGTCCACATCTCTTCTGTAGTGTGGGGACCAAAACTGGACGCAATACTCCAGGTGTGGCCTCACCAGTGCCGAATAGAGGGGAATAATCACTTCCCTTGATCTGCTGGCAATGCCCCTACTAATACAGCCCAATATGCCATTGGCCTTCTTGGCAACAAGGGCACACTGCTGACTCATATCCAGCTTCTCATCCACTGTAATCCCCAGATCCTTTTCAGTGGCGTAGCCAGGGTCTAAGTGTAGGGGAAGCAAAAATAAAAAAGGCACACCCCCCCCCCGGTTCCTCCTCTGGCCATGCCCCCTTGGCTCCTCCCACCCCCCCCCCCAGATTAACCCCGGGGCCCGGCTCAGGACGCCTGCAGGCTTCCTGGGGGTGCGGATACCCCCGTCCCCCCGCGGTCCCAGGAGAATCTCTCCTGCCCAGCCCGCTCTGCAGGTGTCACCCGCCGGGCTTCGCCGCCCGTCCCCCCTGCCCCGGGCTCCAGGATCCTGCGCCCCCCGTCCACAAAGCACGGCCTGCGCCCCTGCCCTGCGGGCCTGGCCCCGGGGAGCCCCTCGCCCCCTCGCCCAGAGAGGACTCCCCAGTGCAAGGCACCGGACCCCCGCCGCTCACCTTCTGTCATGCGCCGCCGCCTGTCCCCAGCCGATCCCGGCCCCGCGCTGCAGGCGGATCCCAACTCCGGCTCCGGGCGGGGAGCGCTTGGCCGCCGAGCCGCCACTGGAGGTGGCTGTGCCTGCGGCGATGTTGGGGGCGCGACGGCCGAGGAGCCGGCCCCCCTCGCTCCTCCGGCCGTGTTCTTGCCGCCGCTCCCCACCATGGCTCCTCCGGCCGTGCTGCCCCCAGCGCCGGCCGGGCAGGCGCCACTTCTGGGAAATGTGCTGAGGGGAAGCGGCTGCTTCCCCTGCACCCCACTAGCTATGCTACTGGTCCTTTTCTGCAGAACTACTGCTTAGCTAGTTGGTCCCCAGCCTGTAGCGGTGCATGGGATTCTTCCGTCCTAAGTGCAG